TAGTAAGCACCCTCTTGTCCGAGTTAATACTTCATTTTCATTTATATAAATATAAAAAGATTAATTATTAAAAAGGGATATATCCCATCGTAGTTCGTTAAGGAATGACTACTTTTCCGTACGTAGAAAGATGTGTCAATGCACTGGCCATTCTTTCAGAAATGGAGCAAAATAAAACAAATAAATGCAAAAGCCTAAAGCAAAAATGTGAAAATGACTACTGAAGTCGCATTAGACAATAACCTCTGGTACAATTCGAGTTTATTTAGCAAGTATTAGAATCAGAAAATGACCACATCTAGTGGAAAAAGAAATAATCGATTGAGATAGAAGGCAAACAAACATACGGCTTCCAATACCAGAAATAAAAATAAATGGTATATTTTAAACTCAACCTTGAGAAAGTTGGCGTCCAATTGAGATGCAACAGCTCTTGCGAGCAAAGTCTTTCCTGTTCCCGGGGGTCCAAAGAGTAGACACCCCTTAGGCGGAGTAATTCCAACACGTTTAAAGAGATCTGGGTTCATCAGAGGAAGTTCAATTACCTAAGGAAAGGGAAAATATAAAAATAAGTAAGGTGTAATGCAGGCCAGTCACGAAGAAAAAGTCGAGTAAAAATGAACTACCTCTCGCAACTCTCTAATTTGTTCACCTAGCCCACCAATGGAGGCATAGGAAACAGCTCCAGGATCCTCAGCGCTCATGTTATATACAAGAGGATCAACCTCTCGAGGAAGTTGGCGCATTATTGTTAGTGTTGTCATGTCCAATGCGACACGTGTACCGGCCCTAAGCTTGCTTTTTTGTATGCTGCGTCTGCAGCCAACAACATAGCGAGGGCCATTACTTGCCTTAACAATAACTATATGGAAAAAATAAGTTATAAACCGAATCCATGATGGACAAAATATAGGTAACTTACAGTGATCTTCTGTAAGCTGTTTTAGTATATCTCCAACGACCTATAACAAATATAAACAAAATTTCACGTGCCTGGCCAACACTTTGGAGAGCTTTAAGGTCATTTTCCGCTTTGTCATATTCTTTTGTTACTGCTTTGGATTTTTCTCTGGCTGAAGATAGCTATGTATGAAGAAATACCTTCTTTCAATTTTGCATCAAGGTCTCTGTGTTCAACAAGTTTCCTGCGATAGTCACTGAGGGCCCTTTCTTTGGCAGTATCGGAGGCACCAAGTGGGACAGTCATAGCAAGAGTGCAAAGCTAAGTAAGAAGCAGCCGGAATCATAAACGGTGTATACAAATGAAAATAAGGATTTCAAACCTATTTAAATATAAGCGATTTTAAATAAAGAGTGCGATAATAATTATATTTATTTAATCAAACTGCATAGTGGTACAGACTTTTTATAAAATTATCTTCAGTGAGCCATTTTGAGACAATATAAAAGCCTTGAATATTAACGCTAAGCTATAACTGAGGACGAAATAAATTAGTTGCGCTTCTTGATTAATTATTTGATGATAGCCGCATTGCAGCCACACAGATAAACCTAAGCGGATACATGAAGATATGATGACCAAGATGTTGTGAACTCTGGTATTGTCGCAGTCTCCTTTAGATTTATAGAAGTGGGTTGACCTCGTTGTCGCAACTTGGTCTTTTGTTGTCTAGGCGACTTAGTAGAACGCATTTAGTCTAAAATCGTCTGTCACAGTAGTTTTCATGATTCCCAGCGTCAGACAGTGGACTTGGTACATTCTCGAACGTTTTGCCGGCATCGTATTCGGCATCATCAGGGAGTTTTGTCATTCTTCGCACCAAACTATGAACTCATCA